ACATGTCACTCTAATCAGCCAATCAGAAACATGTCACTCTGATAAACCAATCAGAAACATGTCACTCTAATCAGCCAATCAGAAACATGTCACTCTGATAAACCAATCAGAAACATGTCACTCTAATCAGCCAATCAGAAACATGTCACTCTAAGGTCAGCAGGTCTGTGGGGGACAGTATCAGACAGGTCTTTCTGTTGGACCAGCTGGACCAGGATCAGGGACTTGAAGGTCAGTTTGTCTCAGGAGACAGAAAACGATGACTCAGCAGTATTTAGACATGTTGCTGAGTCAGCGTGGAGCTAAAACATCATTTAGGGTTTTACAGTATTCATTAAAGACTCAAGTCTGGAAGACATGAAAACAAACAAAACAAAGAGAGAGGAGGAGGATCAGGAGGAGGAGGAACAGGAGGAGGAGGAGGAGCAGGAGGAGGAGGAGGAGGACTACCACCAGATGACTCATAAGAAAAGCAGGCAGAGGTCAAAGGTCAGACGTTGAATCAATCTGTCCATCAGGTTGTCCACATTAACAGACAGAAAAGAACAGAGGACAGGAGGACTTCCTGTCTCCTTAATGCTAGCTTCTGTTGCACTGAGCTAACACAGCTTCACTTCAGCTACTTGTACAGATTTCAGCTGTCATTTAGCTCCGTGTTTAAACCAGCTGACTCATCATCATCATCATCATCATCATCTTCAGCTCAGCCTCACCGGCTGAACCAGACTCTATTTAAAATCCATTAAATTTAAGTTTCCGGTCAATCCCAGAACTTTTCCTCAGGTCCAAAACTAATGATGAACATGTGTTTTACTCCTCAAAGACTCCGGTCCGGTTCGGTCCGGTTGGGTTCGGTTCGGCGACAGACTCCCTTTACAAACTCTTCACATTAAACACAGAACTATTTCTCTACCTGAACTTTTTCACAGAACCAAAGTTCGGTTCGGTACCGGACACAGTTAAAAAYCGAACGAGCTGATTTCACCTAAACCAACCGCAGAACCAGCTGCTGTTGTTGGTTCTGCTCTGTGACGTCACACCGGACCAGTAACACCAATCGATGTAAAATCCTCAGATTTCTGAATGGAGATCGGCCTGAGCCCAAACCAACAGAACCGTTACTTCCGGACTTACTGAACCAGGTTCAGGCTCTCAGACGAATCCAGGATCACGAACACGGTCTGCGGCTGCAGGACCTCGGCCTCCGGCTGGTTCCGTTCGGTTCCGCTCCGGTTCTGTTCTCCGGTCCGAACCTGGTCCGAGCGAGCGGCTGACATGTTCTCTGAGAGCCGGGAGAGAGCGCGGAGGAGCGGGGAGAGTTCCGGGAGACACCGCTGAGGAGAGTGGGCTCTGGACCGGAACCAGGGGCGGGCAGGACACACACACACACACACACACACACACACACACACACACACACATGAAACACTAATCAGTTAAAAACAAATCTTTCTGTTGTTAAAAAAGGGGCGTGTTCTCAGCTGCACTCATTTATATTTTGTTTTTTAAATCAGAATGAATCTAATTTTCTCTATAAGTTTTTATTTCTTTACTAAATAATAAATGTTAGTTTATGTTTACAGCAGGACTGCAGTCGCATTTCTTTGCGGCACGGGGCGGAACCATCTGATCTCCTCTGAGCCAATCAGCTGCCTCCTTGTCTCCAGCCAGCCAATAGAGCAGCGCCTTTATGTGACAGCAGCCAATCAGCTGCTCCGCTCAGGAAACTCTTTCTTCTTCGTTGTTTTTGTTTTCAGTTATTACCGGAAGTGACAACGGGGAATTCCCAGGTGACGTCAGCTCCTTGATCAGCTGAGGTGTCACCCCTCCTGTCCAATCAGAGGGCTGTCAGGTGAGGGGGACCTGGGGTCTGTGCTCAGGTGGGTTTCAGCTCCTCAGTGTCTCAGGTGACCTGGATCAGATCTCACCTGGACCAGCAGGTGGGATCAAAGACCAGGTGTTGCTCAATAATAAAAACCAGCAGAAACAAGTTAGGTTGTAAAAATGTGATAAATTTAATCAATAATCAATATTTATCATGCATCATTAATACTTTTACACTTTGTGTTGTCATGGTAACAACTACACCATAAATAACTTSATTAATATAACTACAATCAGACGACATCACCTGGAAAACAGGAAACTAAAAGTCTGTCACTTCCTGTCACTTCTGGTCCAAACCCAGGAAGATCTCAGCAGATGACCTGTCCACATGTCCCCGGTCTGTGGACACAGTATGTGGACACAGTCTGTGGACCCAGTCTGTGGACCAGTCTGTGGACACAGTCTGTGGACACAGTCTGTGGACACAGTCTGTGGACCAGTCTGTGGACCCAGTCTGTGGACCAGTCTGTGGACACAGTCTGTGGACACAGTCTGTGGACCAGTCTGTGGACCCAGTCTGTGGACCCAGTCTGTGGACTCAGTCTGTGGACCCAGTCTGTGGACCCAGTCTGTGGACCCAGTCTGTGGACACAGTCTGTGGACCAGTCTGTGGACCCAGTCTGTGGACACAGTCTGTGGACCCAGTCTGTGGACCAGTCTGTGGACCAGTCTGTGGACCCAGTCTGTGGACCAGTCTGTGGACCCAGTCTGTGGACCAGTCTGTGGACCCAGTCTGTGGACCAGTCTGT